AAACTGACTGATATGGACTGATACAACCAATACATATATCCATATCCATCCATCCATCTATACTATACTACTATAAAAAGTGGAAATAGTTTCTATGGCTTTTGGAGTTTTTCTTTACCAAAATGCCCTTCTTTTTGAATTCAAATCCCTCTATTTGTAGGTAGAAACTGTAATTCGAATACTATTGTTAAATTCATCATTGAATCCTATATTTAAGTTACCTTTGTTTTTCATCATTAAATTTCACTAATCAAGTCCATTAATAATAATTTCAATGCTATAAAAACCTATATTTTAAAACAGTTCACAAATAAAACCACTTTTTTTTTTTCAAATAGTAGGTAAGTATTCAAACAATTGAGTCAAATAGGTCAACCCATTACGTCACAATTAAATACTAAAACTTTTAAAATATATACCGGCAAATCTCTAATATTATATTCGTCATCTTAAACAAAAATAAGTATGATAAATAAGAAGTTTGTGTTATTAATCATGAAAATAGGCGATATGAAAGTGAAACCATTTTTGTATGTGTGGCAGGTCAATGGTTCAATCATTAGGGGTCAAATGAATCAACTCATGTTGTCATAGTTAAACAATAAAATATTTAAAATAAAAAATACAAATAATTATGAAAACACAAAAAATAAAAAATCATACACATCTCTAATATTACATATTAGTCTTATTAAACAAAATAAGGGTGATAGACAATAATTAGATTTATTATTGAGTTCAATGATATACACAATTTAAAATCAACCTAAACATTAAACCTTTTGCACCAAATAAGTCAATCCATGATGTCATAATTAAATAATAAATATTTAAAAATATAAAAAAGTAAAAGAATACAAAAAAGGTCTAAAAATTTTGTAGAAAATATTTGGTCACATCTATAATATCACTTATTCATTGTATTAAACAAAAATAAGTGTGAAAAATATGGTTTATTTTTTGTAGTAGTGAAAATGAGATATGATAAAACTGACCCAAAAGTAAACCAATTTTTCCATCCATGCAAGTGGTGGGACAACAATTCAACCATTTAGGAAAAATGGGTCACCATTTTGTTGAACGAGCTAATGGCTTTTTACAAACAAATAATTTAATAATAAATGGACTCAAAATACTAGTTTGATGATGGGTCAATCTTTCAACCAATTGATTTGACCATGAGATAAAAAAAAAACACTAATAAAAAACTAATATTCCAAAAATCAAATGTAACCATATTTCCCTCTTAATCAAACTAGTGAGTGTGTGATGTCATAAATTAAATTATAAAAATATAAAATATAAAAAATTTATAAAAAATACTTTTGTGCCTCTTTAATTGTGAGGGCAGAAAATGTAACTAGAACTACAAGTTTTTTTATCACATTTAATTCCCTTTAATTATGTCTTATATATAAGGTATTAACTTCCATTCTCCCTCATTAAATCTTATATTTAAGGTATTTTCTCATTATTAAATTCTATTAGTTAGATTCTATATCCAATACTTTAATAAATGCAAATCCATGCTTTTTAAAACCAAATCACTTCTTTGTTTAAGTGGCAAATAAGCAATTTAAGCATCTAAGTCAAAATGGTCAACCCATGATGTCATACTTAAATAATAATTTTTTAAATAAATACAAAAAATAAAAAATCTAGGTACATCTCTAATATTTTATATTAATCATATTAAAAAAAATAAGTATGAAAAATGAGAATTATTTTTATAGATGATGGAAATAAAATACAAAATTAAAAATAACCCAAAAATAAAATTATTCTCCTATTTGATGGTAGGTCAATAGTTCAACCTTTTGGGTCAAATGTGTCAATCGTTGATGTCATAACTAAGTAATAAAAATTAAAAAACATAAAAGTACAAAAATCATGAAAAATGCAAAAATTTTGCAAAAAAACATGTCATCTTAAAAACAAAATTAAGTGTGATAAATAAAAAGTATTTTACAAAAAGGTCCAAAATCTATATAATCGATTTCATCAATTTAGTTCTATTAGGTAGACGACCCAACCCATTGACAGTTCTAATCTAAATATTGGTTTGTCGCTATATTTAGTGATTTATTTGTATATAACTGAATTTCTTTTTACATTTTTCATTGATTCAATCAAGACCTAGACGGTTGGTTGGTAAAGCCTCTTGTTGGTTATAGTAGAGACTTAGGATCGAATCCCGCCTGCACCTAAATTGGGAGAATTATGGGTATGAGGGATGAACTACCCCTGTTGCATAGCCCCTTGGAACAGAAAATTAAGACCATCAGTAGCCAAGAGAATGGGTAAATGATAATTTTTTTAGTAATTCTTACTCTATAAGTCTATAACTTGTTTGTTTGCATAATCTCCGGGTCTAACTCTTATGTATAAAATATTGCATATATAATATTTTATATTAAATCATTAAATATTTGTATACAAGTGTCATATTATAATATTTACAATATAAAAATATAAAATATAACATAAAATAATATACATATAGGCCGGGCCTAAACATAAAGTATAGGCACCAGACCGACATTTCCGGRCTGGAGCTGAAAATGATCACCCCTGGTACAATGCCACCATAGAAGTGGGTATGGATGTAAAAATAGAAGCCATGCAAGGGTAAAACGGAAATTACATGAGATGCATATATGGAGCAGGAGATGAAAGAATCAACAGCCTACCTAGCGGCTAATGCAACGTTGCTACCAGGATCTGGATCTCCCTTTTACTTAGTGGCAATGATTTTCTCAATTTCTGTCTAACTTCTCCTTACAAGATTTTTCTTCCCTAGTGTGTTTGAATGGGTCATATACAATGTGATACAGTCCAATACGGAGATGTATCTTGCTAATATGCATCATTCGGGAGCGGCGGATTAGCTGGAGACAAAAACATACACACCCCGGCTGAGTTACTGCTCATGGTTTGAACACGTCAGTGTTCAGTATAGCTGGGTCCCAGATCTGGGCCCATTGTGAATATTGGCGTGTTCAACTGTGATACATAGTTCAGTTGGGTGTGTATGATTTTGTCTTCAATTCATCTGGACTGGTATGATTAATGGTATATATATCTAGTTCTAACATACTCTACAATAGATCTGTTCATGGATCGGATAGCCCGATGGGCTGGTCCAGCCCTAGGATGGGCTTGAGCATGCGTTTTAGCCCATGGGCTTGACCTCGGGCCTAAAAGACTGAACCCAACTATTTTATGGGCCGGGCTCAGGATTTATTAAAAAAGCCCGGCCCGAGCCCAACTTTTATATAAGTTAAACCCTAAATTCCTAAATTGCCCCCTGAATTCTTAAAACTTTTCTTTTCATTCTCCCTTCTCACTCTCACTCTCAGAAGCAGCTCTCATTTCTCCCTCTCAACTCTCAGAACCGACGAACCCAGTTGCACCTGCAAACTCAGGCACCGGCGGCCGGCACCACCAGAACTATTCATCTCTCTCTCTCTCTCCCTCTCTCTCTCTCTCCAACCGGCACCGTTTTCATCTTCTTTCTTCTCATTCTCAGTTCTCTCTCTTCTTAGAACTAGGTCTTCTATCTTCTCAGTTCTCTCTCCAGTCAGCGCCACCAGAGCCCAGACACACCATTTTCATTCTACGAACTCAGGCACTGGCGGCTGGCGCCACCAGATCTAGATCGTCTCTCTCTCTAGCGGCTCTCTCTCTCTCTCTGGCATTGTTGTCATCTTCTATCTTCTGACTTTCTCGATATCTATTCTCACTCTCAGACTCCCAGGAATCGGTGAAGTCAACAAGCACCATTCTCTCAATTTCAAAGGGCACCGACGCTCAGACTCCCAGGTCGAGCTTCGGGCTTTTTATGAGGGTCGGGCCRGGCTCGGGCTTGAAAAATTTATGTTAATGAAGAGCAAAAGCCCGGCCCAAGCCTGGCCCATGAACAAGTCTACTCTATAACCATGATCATGAATACTGATATGATACACCCCGTTTTTGTACTTTTTCATTAATCATTATCACTTCTCTCAAGCCAAAAGAAAAAGACTACTATTTGGATCATAGTTGAGCTGGCCTTGTACGCCATGTGGCCGCCAAGTCACTACCCAGTCACCTCGGCCACATTGGTGCTGCCCTACCAGCTCCGGCACACACCGACTCTACGGCCATGACTGCGCTACATTACTTCCGTAGCCCCCACCTTATCCTCCCAGCCACGTCAACTCCACATCATACAAATAAGTACAATCAAGAACATGAGAGGATGGGACAACCCCGCTAGGGATTAGGATTCTATCATGAAGACCTCAGCAGTTAGCCTTATCCCGGTAACCCCTAAAGCCCAATCCGATCAGGACACAGACCTTTAGCTATAAAAAGGTATCTCCCGCTCAAGATAAGGGAATCAAACTTCTAGCACYCGTACTGTTACTTTGCTCGGACCAGTGCCCTCATTGCTCGGCTTCATCACTCACCACTTTCTACTGACTTGAGCGTCAAAATGCCTACCCTGGGATAACTTCTCATGCCTTTGACATCTTTCTTGATCTCATTGCGCAGCTTCAACCTAGTGCGCCACCTCGGTTCGAACATGTTCAATTGACTGACATGAACTTAAAACCCTGAGAGGAAGAGGGGAGAAAACCTTTGGCAATTTACAGGAGAGTAGAATTTGAAGCAAAACCTACGATGAACTAGATAGAGACATTCACTTTTGCCACGACGACGTCACCTAAGATTCTAATTTACCACGACAATGGAAGGCTTTAGGTTTCGTGGCTTGAGCGACTCCTTAGTGCAATAGAACGACCCCGACATGACAAATGATGGAATCCACTATTGTTACTGTTGAATTGGACAATGAAATCCCGTTTGCTTTGATTTACCGACTCTGTCCTCTCTCTCTCTCTCTCTCTCGTGGCTTATCGTCACCCACCAATCACCATGAAAAAGCAAAGCAAAAGTACGTAGGCGAAATGTATTGCTCTCCCCCTGTCTCTATTCTCTACTCGAGCAGACCAGAATATAAATTTCACAGAGAGGAAGAACTCTTTCTCTTTGGTTTTTCTCGAGTCGGGTGGGGGGCTGATCGAGCAGAGCAAGGGCAGACAACATGACAACGAGAAGGTTCCTACTGTATCTGCTTTGTGGTTTCTCCATGGCAATTCTGTCGACGTTCTTCCTCGCCGATTCTCATGACTATAACTACCCACGTCGTCTATACTCTCTACACTCAACTTCAGTGCAATACCCAGCTGAAGCATTGAACAACCGCCTCAAAGTTTGGCCTGTATTTATCTCTATCTCCATTTCTATCTTTCATTCATCTCTCTCTCTCTCTCTCTGCGCTAAAAGTTTTCTGGTTGTTGAGTGCATATCAGAAATTGAAGTTTAGCTGGAGAATTGTATTGGCGACGGTGATTGGGTTTCTAGGATCGGCTTTTGGAATGGTGGGTGGCGTCGGAGGAGGAGGAATCTTTGTTCCAATGCTTAATTTGATTGTGGGATTCGATACGAAATCTGCTGCGGCTCTTTCCAAATGTAAACCCATCTGTTCCTCTCTTTTTACCCTTCTCTGCTTTTACCTTTTGTGAAGTCTACCAAACAACTTTTTTTGGATGAAAACATAATTTTGAAAATCAAAAGATGAGAAGAAACAAGTGAGATGATAACGAGAGTTGGGTAACTATTTGTGTTGCAGGTATGATCATGGGTGCATCAACGTCATCCGTTTGGTATAATTTAAGGGTACCCCATCCAACAAAGGACGTGCCCATCATAGACTATGACTTGGCCCTTCTCTTCCAGCCCATGCTCATGCTTGGCATCACCATTGGTGTCGCTCTTAGTGTTGCCTTCCCGAACTGGCTCATCACTGTTCTCGTCATCGTTCTCTTCTTGGGTAAATTCATTTGTCACCCCATCTCTCTCTCATAGTAATACTCCCTTTTTTTTTCTAAAAGGAGAGAGAGCCCTGTGTCTAAATGAAGAAATCCTCTAGTTTGAGGGATTTGATTTAATATATATACTAGATAATGATCACCTGTTATTTATATGGTAAATTTAAGTTAGAATTTTTATTTTTTTTAAGATCAATTGTTATATTTTTTAATTTATTTATGAGATTAAATTAAGTTTTATTTGTAAACGTTTATATTTTAGGTGCAGTTTGGCAAGTCTTTTTTAAAACATCTTTCTGTTGACCCGACAACCAAAAGACGATGTGAATTTTTGCATTAAGATTAACAGCTTGAAGACCGTTTGGTTAAAGTGCATCTTTTCACACGAAGACTTAAAAAGACAAAAGCCCTATTTGGAGCTTCCCGAAAATAACTTGAAATAGGTTTTTCACATTTTTCAAGATTGTGCTTTTAGTAGATAAATCTTTTCCCAACCAAACGGAAAAAAACCAAATAATAAGCTGCCAGAAATCTAAAAAAGCCGACAACTCACACAAAAAGATGGCAAACGGGGCAAAAATCCTTTTCTTGGTAGAAGCATTTTAATAAACTTCAATTAAAATAGTTGGTCGTTATTAATAATCTCACATCATTTGAAGAGTGGGAGTGGCCTTTTTTTTTTTTTTAGGGTTGAAAGAAGAACTATACTCCAAATACTGTATCGTGAAA